TATGTATACGTGCATCTTAACCCTGATCAGACTGTACGGAAACGTAAATACAAATGTATATATTTTGGTCTATTTATACACACATAAATTTATATTTTTATGTTTATGAGTATACATTACAATTAGCTATCAGGGAAATTAAATACATGAACTTTCAAAAAGGTATATTTGTACGTACAATGGGATCTTTGTCTAGTAATGGTACCGAAGCGCAAACTAGACAGAGTGTTTCTAGACAAAAGGTTTCATTGTCCTGATCGTATTAAAACAACAAACTCTATCGTATTTAAACTCAAAAACATATCTAACAATTAAATAACTACATACATATATACACTACTATAAGATATATCGAGTTCGTGTCTGAATTGAAATGGAAGTTCCTACTATAAATAGCTAAAAGCGTAGACATATAAATAAAATGATTTTTAAATAATGCATGACATATGCATGAAAAAAAATGAACATTTGAATTTGGTCAAAATTGCAGCGCCAGTAATGTTAGTGTCCCACAGATTCACTGATAAGGGCTAAAATAATCCCCCCTCGATTTAATCACCAATGCTAAGGTTGCGAGAACTGTTACAGGCACTAGGGGATTGGTTTGAGTCTCCTCTGTAGCGGAAGAGCTTGGCACGAATATCAGCCGCTGCAGATTTTTGACCAAATTGCTAATCAGTCCTGGTGGAAACTGACCGGAAACACACACGCACATCACAGCGCATGTCAACGCAAACAACAGAAGATGATGACAATGGACCATTTCGTATTGGTGGTGATATGTCTTGTAGATTTGTATGGTGTAAGAACAATGTAGAATGAAGGTTTCTTATTGAATAATTAGTGGGACAAATATACTAAAGCATCCGACTGCGTAATTCACACCGAGGTTTTGTACTCAGCAAAAAACGACGACTGTAAAAACCTATCACATTCGTATTAAACAATGGAAAGCGCATCCAAATGTAACACCTTTGCTAAAACAGCCACTGTCATACCGTTCATGTTCTTATCTGACAGTTCAAACGATAATATCTATAATAATGCCTGCCCCGAGCTCCGATACTGTGGAAAAGCGTCGCAATCTACTAAGGATTTGTGTGTAACGGTGTCAATGTTTCGCCTTGATTATTTCTGTGGTGTTCTTTGTCACACATGCAGTTTAATTTCTCCAAGTTATTGATGTCGACCTCATTTACTAGATCAGGTACAGCGTTAATTGTTATGGTCTCACATACACAGTTGTTTCCCTGTTACGTGCCGTATCATACATCCATCATTGGCATCTCGCAAGATAAGTTATCTTCAATGACTCCGCATAAAGATGTCATACTTTTTTTTGTTGCTGTCAGGATATGAATTCTGTAAGAAAAAATATTTCTGTATCATTGAAATTATCCTTTTCTCTTATTATCGTTTGCCAGGTATATTCGTTCAAAAATAGAATATTTATTTTGAGAATGACGGATTATTTTGAAAACTTCATGATGAAAAAAATAATAATCTTTGTCATCTTTTCAACACAAAGAATTATACCGAAATAAGAAAATAATTATTTCAAGATTAAATAAAGGAAAATCGTTCTTGGATTAGAAAAAAAACACACCGACATATCTTTATTGTGTCAAATGAAACCTACTTGGTTTTAAGGTGTTAAACAAAGACAACTAATAGCGTATTATGATGCAATAAATAAAATGTATCTGGTTTTAGTATGTTCAACAAAGTAAACTTACCAGAAACCTGTTAATATTATGCTTCCGGATCATTTCCCCGATTTGTTTCATTTTCTTTTTTTCAAAGAAATGTCACTTCAACAGTTTTTACGCTACCACCGACAACAGATTCAGTGATAATGTTTCTGTTTATTTTTTCTGATTCACCTTTCCATGAAAACGTTCTAAATTAAGTTTTTGTTTTTTGTTTTAATTATTATAGTCTGTGTACATGTAAGATATAAAACGAAGACTGGATTTTTACAATAATTAGGATTTCTCAGATGTATTCTACCACTAAGAGTAAGGATTTTTCTGTACATGATAAGCCAAATTTGTATCATATTGTTATAGTAATTGTTTGTTGCAACCTAAAACTGTGTGTCGTCTACGTATTGAGGCAGTACTTTCAAATTGTTTAAAAATATATATATTTTTATCTTTTCCTTTTTTTTAAAATTAATAATGGTGAACGTTTTCCAATTTAATGTTAAAACATATAGGAGGACTTGCGGGACGTACTTTGTAACATACAATATATTTACTAGCAGAAATAATACCTTTTGAGCTTTTAAATTATTTCATTGAAAATATCATCACCTTCGCAAAATTCTTATGAAACCGAATCCCCTATATAGATATCTTTTGAATAGAATAATTTGATTTCGTTGGGTTTTTATATGTTTTGAAACTTTTTTTCTCACCTTGTTTTCGTATTTAAAATCTTTTTTTTTCCATTTGGTTTCGATTTGATATAATGAATGCATGAATTATTTTTCAACTTACGCAACTTAAACAATCTGCAAAATGTATGTTCAAATCTAACATATTTCATCTATAAAATACTGAAATGGGCCTATTGTGATTTTGACTAAATAGTTTATAATGCCAAAATTTCTGTCTGAAAAATACGTACCTTTCCACTACAACGCCTCTCTCCAAATAATGCCACCTTATCTCACGGAACGCAAGTCCTATAAGAACCAAATATTTTTAAAGCAGTGAAACTCTTACGGAAAACTTGCCCGGATGAGTTACCTATGCCCTCATCCAGATAAACACCAGGTAAATTTTGACACTTCAATGTCAGACATGCTGGTACCTAATACACCTGTGTTTATATAACTAAAACACAGGTATACTCTAAATGAACTTTAGGTACGAATACTAATAAGTTTATGTATTAATAAAAGTTTACGACCTGTGCACTTTTGACCATGCGTGTGTCATGTTCGATACGGCGATCAATTGAAATGTAGACTCAATTGGCTATTTTGCTATAATAATTTTGTAGTTGGAGCGAATTAGTGACAACTTGTGAGATGTAGTAGGTAAACAAAAACGGAGGTGTAGGTTTTGTGAGGAACAGTTAGAGGATGGTTGATGGTAGTAAAAAGGGGACTTTACAAGACGTTGTGTTGTAGAATACCGTAGGGTGTACTAAGAAATGAACTGAAAAGAAAGAAAACGGAGAAAAATGTGTGAAAGATAGTGATGAACAGCGAGGACATTGAGGAGAGGGTAAGTGAGGAGGATACGGAGAAACAATAACCTGTGATAGTTGTGGAGGAGGTGAATTAAGGTGTATTTTAGAGGAGAAATGTTTTGGGAAGCGTGGGATTTCTTTTTTTAATGAGATGGATATGGAGGAGAGCTTAATCAAAAGGATGGAGAGGAGAGGTCAAATGTAAATTGTGAGGAAAAAAAAGGGTTTAGTGAGAAGGATGGAGAGGCGTGGTGAAGTGATAATTCGAGAGGGTTTAGTGATAGAATGGGGATGGAAAATTTGGTGATAAGGATGGACAAATGTGCTTTAGTGAGAAGAGTGGAGATACGTGGGTTTAGTAAGAAATATTTAGAGGTGATTGTTCGTGAGAAGGAATGATTTGTGAAAACAATGAGGCAAGAGAAAGCCTGTCATTTTTTTGTAATAAATATGTCTTATTACATTTTAATTTTTGCATAGATATAGATTTGATACAATTTTCAAGTTTCATTTAAAAAGTGAAAAATAATTCTATTAGACTAATGACGTCAATACACATTAAATACACCTAATCTTGTCTAAGTTAAACCAACAGCCATAACCCGAGGTAGTTGTTGACAGGGTTCATTCAAGTGTATCTCAATTAGCTGTAGCCTTCAAGGCGTTCAGAAAACGTCGATGCTTGGAGTAAATACACATATAGTTAGGTACCATCAAAGTCATATTGTAGGTGGGGTTTTAGGATACATTTTAAACATTTAATCTAAATATCTGTTTGCTGTTCATCAAACACCTTTATACTGAAAAAGTTTATGATATATATATATTCATAATAATTCACACGTCGAGACCGATATATGCAGAATATGTTCTAGTATGTCGAATGCAACACACAAGCAATCCCCATTTTCGAATAAGTAACTTATGGCCATAACTATTTCTGTAATCCGGTACGTTTGTTATCAATGAGTATTTGTATCACGACTTACCAAATTATCGGAGGTTCAAAGAGACAGTCCCTTAATAGATTATCATACTTTATCTCAAAGTTAACTATACACATCTTTATTGGCTTTGTGATGATATTCTCAGCTAAATCCTGGTGTCCAAGAACCACTTACCGATAAATATATCACCAATTAAATTATTGTACAAACTGAAAATAGTATAATTTTCACCATATTAAAATTATATTGAAAAAACCAAATCTTTTGCCCTTTTCCATCTTGAGAAAAAAAAATACATATCTTATAAATGTGAATCTGAGTATCATTGCACGAATAATATTTGAATTAATTGAACTTCAATAATGGTCACTTTTACATTACTCAACGTCCAAAAGCATATCAATTAATATATTATTTTTAATGCTATACTGGAAAGCCTGTTTGCCTTAAACTTTTCATTGTTGCACCGATATCACTCTGAAGTTGTACGTTTGAAAAACAAGTGGCCAACGTAACAATCTCCGATTCTTTGTTTCCATTTGCTGCAACTACGCGAGTCCTGATGGATCATGGCCTTTTTTGCACCCATAAAGGTTGTTCCAGACAAATAGCGTTGCATTATTGCTGTAGCCGACACTACGGTTCGAGATTCGATGTTACTGAGCAAAGTGTTCTTTACGTGGTAGCAACCATGTATCGATTCATGCGATAAATACAATTAAACAGTTTTTAGAAAAATATAAGGTAGAAGGTAGCTTACATCCTGAAATAGGATACATGTTTTTGGAACCTCAACGGACAGCGGTGAAGTAACTGAAGGGGAATCGAACAAACTAAAAACAATATTCTGGCTGAGTTATGTTTATTAACAGAACAGATATAACTAAATCCAAAGAAAAAAAATATGGTTCAAAAAGAAAACGGCTGATGCAGCAAATCGACCAGTCATTCGGAATTCCTTGATTTCAACATTAACCGCTGCCAAAGCTGATCCATTCACCAACTTCAATGAGGAATCCGGAGAAACTGGTGAACTGGTCGTCTATTGAAGCGCTCTGTTGATCGAAGTAACCATCAGATCTGACAAACACAGTATCCCCAATCGCCAGGTTCACGATAACCGAAGTTGACGCCGACGCTCGGGAGCGCATAGGTTCCGCCAAAACCCACGCTATTTCCTGTCCGTTTTTGACGATTTCCGCACCGAAGCTGTGTCCATCCTCTACCTGTATGGTGACGTGGAAGACGTAAGTACCCGGCACGTGACACGTGAAGACACCGGTCAGGGGATCGTAGCCGTTTCCGTCGTTTGTGAGGACGTTGTCCATGATAATTTTCTCGTCACGATTGAACTTCGACATACGGTTACTGAGGCTTGCGGAAAAGGCAAACTTGGCTTCAGAAGTCGATCTCACTGAAATGTAAAAGAAGAAGGCGTCTCCGATATTTCGTCTTTATCATAGTTACTATGATATTAGGGCCTGGACATAGCTACCGTCACCTTTGAAAAGCAACTAATCTTAAGTCTGATCCAAATTCCTTGACTCATGTTGAATCACTCAAGGATTGAGACAAGGCGACTTCCCAGCCATAACTCAAATAAAACGTTCCTATCTTACTCATTTATTCGTTAAGTGGATAAACATTACTCCCTTGTGGTTGATAAATTGAAGTGAAAACAGAATATTTTTGCGACCCCCTCAAAAAGAGGTCTCAATCAATCGCAACGAAATATGAAACAGTCTAATAACCCAATGAGACATTCGCATAGGTAACGTGTCTCTTGCCTGTATAAATGTAGGTGAAGCGACACAAAACAAGCTTTTCGTGTTTTTTTCTCACGTCTACGTTGAATTATAATGCCACATACATATGCAAACATCTTCGGAGTGTGGCTAAAAACAATTGTATCACAATGTCTATATGCGTTACGGTTTATTATGGTATACAATCTTAAAGAGGACGTTAGCCGATTTAATTATTTATACCAATGTATCAGGAGAGGAAAAAATGCACGGCCAGACCGGGGTTCGAATCCGGGACCCTCCGAACTCTAGAGGGACGCTCTGCCAATAAAATGCATTTGATGAAACAGGTGACCTCGGAATATTTCACATCCGATCAGAGAATCTAATATCGATCGAAAGGCGAGTACGATATCAAGGATTTTATCCGACCATCCAAGCAAATGTGTTTTGGTTATTTTACATTATTATAGCTTATTATATAACAAATTAAATACCTTTCCCTAAATCAAACAGAAATCCGAACTAAAGTATGGTCCATACTACATTGCAGAAGGATACATGTACATGTCTATTCCATTGATTATATAATGTACTAGCGGCTTTCAATACAAAATTGAACCTTTGTGTGCGATGCGACATCATCTATAATATTAATGCTTTCTCTAAAACTATTATCAGGTGGTTAAACTATTTTGTTCCATAGATTAAAATGTATACAGTAAAATTGTATTAAGCGTTAACCTCTAGGTAGCACCCATTTCATTATGCCCGAAAGCTGATATGAGTCGAGGGTTCATTGGGCGTGGGACATCGGAAGAAGAACATAGCAAAGTAATGACATTTTATAATATACTACACGCTGTCAATATATTTATTTAAGCAATGTACTGGAATCTTTAATAATAACATATAAAAAACATGCCATTTGACATTTTGTTAAGAATCTACATAAATGAAGTCCGATTTTGTCGTGACGCGAATACATTTAGTAATTTGTCTAATGCTTGCTTCGGATAGGGAAATCTGACCTGATTTAGAGGATGAGGTCTCCAGCTGACGAGCTAAGTCCTGGTACTTCTGTTGTAACGTAGATAATTCCGATTGGACGTTGGCCATTTCATTTTCAAGGTGAGACTTGTGTTGTCTTGCCGATGCCTCGACTTCCTGAAGACGGCGATCACTGTCATCACGGTCGCGTACCAAGCCTCCCACCACGTTCTCCAGGTGCATCAGCCTTTGGATGACGTCATCAGATGATTCGGTGCCATGCGATGAAATCGTGGATATCAAAGTAAATATCACAATACAAAGACATTTATGGTAAATCATCTTTAGGTTTGCCAAGAAAACAACAAACACGTCACTTTCTGTCCAATAAAATCACCTTGGGAACGTTATTGAAACTGACTATGACAACACTACTGTCTAAGTTTTGGCTGTTGTGGATATTGCAGTATAATAAGTGTCCAAATTGCACGACAGACAGTTGGCCTTGGTGTTCCGGACGTGATTAGAGGATAAGACACACGAGTCTTGCACTGTTGTTATCTCTTTCAGTGCATTGACGATCACGTGTCTATATAATGTTACAAGCCAGGTTAGATAACGGTAGACAATAACAGTTTTCTTCATGAATACATAATTAGAGTATTGTCTAATTAAAAAAACATTACCGGAAATGCACTATTTAATATTACTTATCTATAAGATTTTGATTTACGCAAAAGGAAGCATACAGTATTGTTGTGTATAAAGATAATTTAAAATAAGATTCTTATATAAATTAGGGAAGTGGAGATAACGTGATTGATAAAGCTGCCGGCTTTATCGCCTAGACGATTTAGTGACCTGTATCGTTAGTTCAAAGCAATGGCATGGCTCGAGTAAAACAGTGTCTTCCTTCGTAATTTATGTTTCTATTTTATCCGCCATTATTGAAGCAAAGGGTGTTTACCCATTTTGTTCCGAAAGTTAATTAAATGAATTACGTTCGTAACTTTACTGTGTGGAATACAGACAGAATATTTTTCTATACATATATGATATATCAGAAATGTTCAGCGTGATACAAACGGTAATATTGCTTCGAGAAGCACATTCAAAATATACACAGCCGTGTTGTCAAGCGTGACGTCATTAGAACCAGGCGTCAATATTACGTTACTTATTCCCGCACTTTTTTGATGCAGCGTTATTTTCGTCGTTAGACTTTAAAAATGGAATAGATAGAAATAGAAAAAAATGTTTTCACATTGAACAAAATATATATTGCACGAGTAGGGCAAAATTACTGATATGTTTTCACATGTGCGAAGCACGAGTACCAATATCGGTATATTCTGCCTCACGTGTGGCATTCGACGGTTAATATCCTCTGTATATTATATGTGTACACCTTTATCGATCTATGTTAAAGTAAGTAATTGATATCATTGGTAATTAATGATAACATTTTCTCGCTAAATGTAATAAATTGGTTAATTTATGAGATTTCAGCTATAAGTTTATGACTTTTATAATCTTGTCGATATTGTGTTTCTTGTTTTGTGTTGTAGTGTAATATGCTACTCTCAAATCGATCCCAGAACTATGTGTTTCTTTGATTTGTTTATGTATCACAGAAATCAAATAAATTGGAAAGATGGTTTATATTACCGATAACTTTCCGAACATCGGTACCTCTGTACGTTTTGATACAGCCACAAAAAAAAAGCAGAAAGAAGAAATTGAAATGGACAAACCGTTCTGTAATAGTTAAACCTCATATTTGCTTAAGTAAGTTCAAATAAACAAGTCAAGTCCGAAAAATAAACGCAACACAACTGTTTATAAATAAACATGTAATTTAATTATTAGTTCCAACATGATATGTGGATCGATAGATGAAAGACATGATGTATTATGTTAGTTGGCTGATCATCCAATCAGATACAGCGGTCTCCGCTAGTCATCCAATTAGATACAGCGGTCTCCGCTAGTCATCCAATCAGATACAGCGGTGTTGGTAAGTCATCAAAACAAGTACAGCGGTCTGCGTTTAAGTACAAAAAGACCAATAAGATACAATGGTCAGGACGCAAGGCGTATTCAGCCAATCCCATGCACTTTTTTTTACAAAGTTTAACATGATTGGCTAATCTTATACAGTGGCATGCGAAGATCGGCGTAGTAGACCAATAAGATGTTGAGGAACGACGTTTGATATCATCATTTCCCAATCAGATACGACAAAACTTCGGTCCACCTTTGGTATTATCGTCCAACCCAGTACAGTGGTACATCGTTTGGTGTGATCAGCCAATCAGATATGATGGCAGGTTGTTGTTTTGTTAACTCGGCCAATCAGATATGGCGATAGGTTGACAGTTTATATCATACTCAGCCATCATATACAACGGTATGACGTTCTGTATAATGTTTTGGACTGTGTCACGTATCTCAGCCTACACGTGAAAAAAGAAAGAAAAAATTAGATGACTTTGAAGACGCAACAATCCAAAAAATCTTTTAGTAAATGATTATGCGTTCAAAATATTTTTTAAATTAAGATAATTTATCTAAGACTGAAATAGCATTGATGTATTACCAGTATTAAAAAGACTTTCGTCTCCTTTAGTAAAGTTATGAAAGCCCAATAAATACTAACGATAATTTAACGGAAATATTTAATCTTAATTTTTTAATATGAAGTATAAAAGTAAAACTAGATGTGTAGAGATTAAACATTACTATCCCAAGGCAACAAATGCAAAAGCAATTATTAGTCCATCTTCAGATATTTCTCAAAAGTTTCATTTTGAAATTTGCTTGAATGACTGATAACGCTCTTTTATAGATAAAAAGACTTACCGAGTTTGAACACAGGTCTTCCAGCGCCAGGGACCGCACTGTGTGGCGTATTCCTCCCTCTGGAGTCTCCGATATGTCTTCTGATAGGGAACCACGTATTTCTCATATTTACAACCTCTGGAATTAAAAACAATTAGCATAAAAAAAAAAACTTTTGCTAGGCGAAGTGTGTTTTAGAAATCACAATTTGGTATGTAAATGGTCTGATATTAGGGTTTTTTAATATATTTTTTATCAGCAGAAGAAATATCTTGATATAAATATTTACCGACTCTGTAGTCATACAGCATAATTGTGTTTACAACATTTGACCACTTTACGGCATGTTTTGCCGTAAAGTGTCACCCGGGTTTTTGCCAATAGTGAAAATATGGTATAGTGTAAGGTATATTGTCATTATTGTGTATTATTGTATGATTGACTTATTGCAGAGGATAAGGCATTTGTTCTTGTTTTAAAAGTTATAGAAGTGTGGCGAAAGTTTTGTTATTTTATAACGAGGGTTGTATTTCTGTGATATCTTGTTGCCCTATCGTTCTATGCATCTGAGATATCGACAAAAGATCGAGAATTATTCTTAAAATAATTCTAGAATTTTTATTGATATTGCACGTGCTTTGTACGATAGTGCTTCATGGATATTACAAAAAGAACAAAAATAAAAAAAAAACATGAGATAACCACTTCATTCAAAACAAGATGATCTCTAACTGATTTAAACATAATGAGAATCATATGTGTTAAAATTTAATTTAATTTAATTAAAACCACAAAAATTCAAGTTCCCCGGGTAAGTCCCGATATAAAGGAAATTTATAGATTGTATGTATTATAAATGTGTTGATGTGGAGGTGTCAGAATAAACAGTATTTGTGATGTAATGACATTCAATATTTTCAATTCAAAGTTTTGAGAATGATGTAGACCAATATTTCTTACGAGTTATTCCCCTTGGACTATATCATAACCAATATAATAATACCGTCTACAGAATATTTAGCAAAATGGATATTCTTTCATGAACAAATGAGAACATCCAAAATAATTCATAGATTTCATTTTCGTATTTCCACAAGTGAATTTATGCGGAATTGTCTGTATGATGAATAATATTTTCGCTTGTTAAATATATAAACTATGATTGTTTATTTATAATACCTACAATCATCATCATCATCATCATTATTATCATCATCAGTTTACCCACACAGAGGAGTTTCGTAACGGATGCATCATAAACGGTAAACGGTATTTATTTGAGCACATGCACAAGAACATGTACATCTTAAGGTACTGAACACTTAAGATGCTTGAACACTTATGGTGCTTGAACACTTAAAGTGCTGAACACTTAAGGTGCTGAACACTTTCAATATACTATATGTCAATAATATGTCGGAATTGTACTTCGCGTCCGTTAAAATATCAGTAAAGTCCCCTATACCTGTCAGATATTTCTGATATTTAACAATAAAAAATAATGAATTATCTCTTTATACGAGACACGACACTATAGCGAGTCGGCCTAATGTTATCCGCCGTTATATTGTAAAGATATACACACCATATTCAAAATATGTTTAGTAGTACATTTCAATCTAAAATAGACTACGTAATAAGCGATTAATGTGTCCCATTATCTGTGTCAGTTTGATTAATGACCAATCATAAGTTTATCTCTGCTGTGCAGTGATCGATAGATCAATACATTTATCGATGTGCAATCATGCAGCTGTTGGTATTGTGATCTCCGGTGGTGACGTAGTATCGTGTATGGGGGGAGTGACCTCTAACCCTTGAACTCACGCATGTCTACGCGATATTTAGTCTACTTTAACAGATGTGCACTAATTATAATACAAATTGTGTATGCATTGTTCCGTTTAGCGTTCCGCTAATGCTTAACGAATACAAAGAATTATACCTTCATATTATTAACGAGATTTAAAAACTTACATATAGTTGACAGCGAGAATATTTGGTGAATAGAACTTTTACTGTTGCTAACTGCATAAATAGTGCATTATCAGAATGTATATGAACAGTGACCGATAAACACATTCAATTTAATTTCTGCCACTGGTGCAATGACACTGCGTACTGTGTCATTAGTGGGTGTTCACCTGGTAAATACTATGGTAATTGACTTTTACAAACACTCATTTACCGAGCAACTTATTCACTAAGATTTCATCATGAATTCGGGGAACAATGTCTTGCATTAATTTTATCGTTTGCTTAAATGTGTCGTCTCAAATTGTCGCGATACATTTTAATTCGGTATCGTTGAACCTCTTGAATTAATGATAATGCTGAACTCGTGAGTTTCATCATTTGACTCTTGAAATGTAAGTTATTAATAGTATTTACATACATTCTCTCACACGTCAGCCCTCCGTAACCTTTCGGACATCTACACTTGTTACGTCTGCACTTGCCGCCATTTTGACAGGGCTGGGCACATTTACCTGAAACAAATTAATATAAAAATATTTAAATGAAATTTGTTTTCATAGAGTTTTTTTTTTTTTAAATATAGAAGTCGAAATGGTCTTTACACTATGCGTATGACCAATCAACCTTACCCCGTTGGCACCATTTCCCTGAATATCCTGGCAGGCATTCACATTTATTGTGACCAATACATTTCCCGCCATTTTTACACGATCGTCTGCAGGTAACTGAAATAATGAAAACACATATTTGGTATGTATATTATGTGTGTTAACAGTTATATTTAAGTGAGATACACTTTAGTTATTTAGTTCAATTAAATATACAAAAGATAATGTTAACATTTTCATCACGATTTAGAGTTACAATAGAACCTTTGGCAGTCGTGATATCAATCGAGACCTCACGTTATGGTGTATCGAAGTCCATATACAGTATTTACATCATATTCACGTGTTTAGACCATGCAAATGCAGTTAGATCAAAGTGATGACACTAATAACTTCCAAACATAGCAACAAGATGTTCTAAAAATCAAAATGCAAAATAATCTATCCACTCGGAACACCTCGGTCACTTACATAATTTTCAGAATCATGCAGTCTGATCTCTCCAACAAATACATATAATCGCAAAACATACTGAAATGTCGCGCTAAATTCCGTATAGAATGCGTTATAAATACCGAGGGATTCCGAGTGTAGTAATGAATTGAATAAACATCTAAAAAACTTACATTCCTGACAATATGACCCGTAATATCCTGGCCTACACCTACATACATATGGATAGATACAAACACCGCTATTCTGGCATGGCGGGGTACACACAGCTGCAACAAAATCAAACAGCGCCATTAGGGTCTGAACATGCTCAATTGTATAAGGTATGCTTTTAAGTTGATTTAGTATAATAAAGAATTTTTGAAGTTTCGGCTTTCTCAGTCATTACATTTCTCATAACATAGCACAGCTGGGAGAAAGGAAACGAGTTTTAGTAGAAATCTTAGCTGTAGGAAGAAAATAAATATTTACAACAATCTAACTTAAACTGCCTTGTTTCGAATTCCTTTTGAAAAGTATGCAGCAAAACTGCGATACTCATTGCAAATCAATAGTATGCCCCTTATAAAGAATTTTCCTAAGAACTCTTAACTATATTAAATTTTTCCTATAATGAAATAATTTTGTTTATGTCTCCTGGAAAATACAGCAAACATACTGAATCGCTAACATGTCTATAACTTGCATACAGCAAAGCTCTGTCGACTGCTGCTCTTTCAAACGTAGAGAATCTGGCGATAATTCCATCGTGATTAAAAGCAGCAGATAACTAAGCACAAACCGGCGACCGATTCGAATTTTGAAGACGCCGATAACGGTCGAATAAGCAGACTTCAATCACACATGCAAAATTATTTATAACATATTTAATTTTGCGAATAGTTTTATTTTTGATAATCCTATGCCTTGTCGATATGATTGTTTTATATCACGTTTCAACCTATTCTGGAAATGAACAGTTAATTTGAAATGATAATAAGAAATAAACAGAACAGAAACGATGAAGTAAAGTAATGTTTAGAAATCAATATGATACGGATTCAATTAAAGACAATGACATAATAATAGCCATGGAAATGTGCTTGTTGGAAAGTGTGCTGAGCGGTGATATATATGATATACTGAACTTGGCTATACTTTTTATATAATCATCATGTGAAATTATATCAAAACACGAAAGCTCTAAATTGGCAATTCTTCTGCTCTAATTCCATTCCATTTACCATGCAACATGCTTCCATTACATCGCCAATCATGCATTACAACGCTTTAGTCGTGTAGCTATTCCCCCAGTCTTGTTATGCATTCTAAGATAAGACCACATCAATGTGACTTTTTTTTCAATTATTTTGCCTTTAATTCAAAACAGTTTTTATATGACACCAAATTATATCTTTATAAAACCGACTGAGACTTGTACAGTTGGGAGCAAACATAACTTAGTAGCCTTGTGCACTAGAGTAAACGAAAAAAGTGAGCTAGTGCACTAGAGCAAACGAGAAAAGTGAGCTGGTGCACTAGAGAAAACGAGAAAAGTGAGCAAGTGCACTAAAGTAAACGTGAAAAGTGAGCTTGTGCGCTAAAGTAAACGAGAAAAGGGAGCTTGTGCACGAGAGTAAACGAGAAAAATGAGATAGTGCACTAGAGTAAATGAGAAAAGTGAGCTAGGGCACTAGAGTAAACAAGAAAAGTGAGCCTGTGCACTAGAGTAAACTAGAAAAATGAGCTAGTGCTCTAGAGTAAACGAAAAAAGTGAGCGAGTGCACTAGAGCAAACGAGAAAAGTGAGCTAGCGCTCTAGAGTAAATGAGAAAAGCGAGCTAGTGCACTAGAGCAAACGAAAAAAGTGAGCTAGTGCATTTGAGTAAGCGAGAAATGTGAGCTTGTGCTCTAGAGAAAACAAGAAAAGTGAGCTTGTGCTTTAGAGAAAACAAGAAAAGTGAGCCTGTGCACTAGAGTAAACAAGGAGAGTGAGCTAGTGCACTACAGTAAATGAGGAAAGTGAGCTAGTGCACTTGAGTAAACGAGAAAAGTGAGTTTGTGCACTAGAGTAAACTAGAAAAATGAGCTAGTGCACTAGAATAAACGAGAAAAGTGAGCAAGTGCACTAAAGTAAACGTGAAAAGTGAGCTTGTGCGCTAAAGTAAACGAGAAAAGGGAGCTTGTGCACTAGAGGAAACGAGAAAAATGAGCTAGCGCACTAGAGCAAACGGAAAAAGTGAACTAGTGCACTAGAGCAAACGAAAAAAGTGAGCGCGTGCACTAGAGTAAACAAGGAGAGTGAGCTAGTGCACTACAGTAAACAAGAAAAGTGGGCTAGTACACAAGAGTAAACGAGAAAAATGAGATAGTGCACTAGAGTAAACAAGGAGAGTGAGCTAGTGCACTACAGTAAACAAGAAAAGTGAGCTTGTGATCTAGAGTAGACAAGATAAGTGAGCTAGTACACAAGAGTAAGCGAGAAAAGTGAGCTTGGGGACTAGAGGAAACGAGAAAAGTGAGCTGGTGCACTAAAGTAAACGTGAAAAGTGAGCTTGTGCGCTAAAGTAAACGAGAAAAGAGAGCTTGTGCACTAGAGCAAACGAGAAAAATGAGCTAGGGCACTAGAGTAAACAAGGAGAGTGAGCTAGTGCACTATAGTAAGCGAGAAAAGTGAGCTTGGGGACTAGAGGAAACGAGAAAAGTGAGCTGGTGCACTAAAGTAAACGTGAAAAGTGAGCTTGTGCTCTTGAGTAAACAAGAAAAGTGAGCTAGTGCACAAGAGTAAACGAGAAAAGTGCGCTTGTGCACTAGAGCAAACGAGAAAAATGAGCTAGTGCTCTAGAGCAAATGAGAAAAGTGAGCTTGTGATCTAGAGTAGACAAGATAAGTGAGCTAGTACACAAGAGTAAGCGAGAAAAGTGAGTTTGTGCACTAGAGTAAACAAGGAGAGTGAGCTAGTGCACTATAGTAAGCGAGAAAAGTGAGCTTGTGATCTAGAGTAGACAAGATAAGTGAGCTAGTACACAAGAGTAAGCGAGAAAAGTGAGCTAGAGCATTAGAGTAAACGAGAAAAGTGAGCTTGTGCACTAGAGTAAACACTATTGGAGTTCACATCCTTGTGCACTGAAGTTAGCTACTGTATCTGTATACCCCCGTGGTCAGTGAGCATCCGAGAGCCGAGTGTACCCTTTTATCATGTTGTTTTGATGTTTGTAAACAACTGAGAATAGCGGATAACCTTTCTAATTGTTATCTTATCGTTCGTAAACAAATGAGAACAAAGCCTCTTACTCTTTTGTAGTTGTTGTTGTTTTAATGTTGGTAAATAACGGAAAAAAGAACCTACCCTTTTGACATCTTCTACCCTTGTATCCTCGTGGACATGAACACTTATTTGGTGCTACGCATTTCCCTCCGTTGTAGCAACCTTTTCGACATATTGCTACAAATAAATCGCAAATATAGTTAGTCAATACATTCAAAATTCTACAAACATCTTCATCACAATTCTTGTTGTGACAATGTTGGACATATAGGATATATTAGAATATTTACTATCGTATGGCATTGCCACTATATAACCATAGAAACTTCAGTTGGCATTCATATAGGCTATGAATGCCATGTTCCAATTGTTGACGTTATCAATATTATGACGTCATAATGGTTACGTTGAACACCACACACCCTCCCTGGGCGATATCTATTCTATGAATTCAAGAAGAAGCATATATGATACATACAGTATTTGAACTAAATGCTAAATAATAACATGAAGCACTAGCGCGCTTCATTGGATTTGTCCAGTTGGCATTCATACTGCCTATGAATGCCAACTGAAAGCTAAAATTAAAGCTAAAATTGTTATGATATAGATGACATATGTATATATTGATACTCAGCATGTCGAACAACTGTTCGGGAAAATGCGAAGGTATGCAGTATCTTATAAATATAAAATTAATATAAATTGAGTTTACGTGTTAACCTTTTGTATGAAATGTGTCTTTGGGAATTGATTAGTTTTGATAGGAAGTACGAACGGATCAAAATGTTTGTGGATTGTATGTCGCAAAAAATGTGTTCATTTGAATACAATAAGGCATTGTATATCATTTAAAAATCGATTAATTAACCATTATAAATATTTTGAAAGTGCAAAGGTCATGTCTGTCTCTTGGCATTTCTCCATATTGTAAGTCAGATTGACATTAATTATGCTTTAAATACAATACATTAATCATGTCTGCAATATTTTGTATTCGTGAATGCATTGCTTCAGTTAAATGGATTTAAGAAGAGTTCAAGGTCTTCTAATATGTAAGAAGAGGTCAAGTGACCATTTTCTATCGTGTTTCCTAACTTATACTACGTCTTCCTTTCAAATCTTAAATCAACCATCAACCAACGAAAAAAAGATAAACACGATCATGAGTTTGGAACTTCTTTCCACCACATTGTTTACGATATTTTCGCATCGTCGACCAGTTAATTTGCGTAGGAATCTGTTTGTGGTGACAAATTTTCTAATTTAAATGAACATATATGTTTACAGTCCTATATGAAAGAAATTGTGCTTATAACACTTTGAATAATTGAATATTGTTCGATTGTAATTATATCCGAGCGTTCGTAAAGATAAATGATTGTTAAATTTAAGCAATCATTCATAATGGAGGAGCATGAAGTCAATGGGCGCCAATCTTCAAACCGGCACGTAGCCAATAACATTGACGGAATTTGTTAATCAACCGGACGAGTAACACTATTGCTTAACGAGTAACTTAACAGCTTGGGAGTTGACAATCGTAAGTAATTCTTGTATGAATAACACATCAGAACCTATCTGCTTCAAATTCAATTAACCGGAACACCACACGTGAAAATGATAATTAAGACATGAACATTTTTTGGGGGGAAATTTCAATATTAACAGATGACGGGATTCTGTAGCTTTTATTTTTCAAATCTGTCCTAGACAGACTGAGTAAATGTTGGTTCCCATGTTTATAACAAAGAGAATGTAGTATGGAATAGTACTCACGTTTAGAACAATCTTTGCCCGTGTACCCCTTCCGACATTTACACGTGTTGTGACGTACACAACGGCCGCCGTTGTGACACACTTTGGTACAAAATGCTAAAAGGAAATATAAAGCTCTTCAACATTGTTGTTATAGAGATAATTATCAAAGATTTCATGTGCAGTATTCTATTACAGAATCAAAAATGCACACGGACCATACAGGAATAAAATTCCCACAGATCAAGAGACATCTTATAAGTATATGTGTGTACAATGGCTCTTTGTAAAACGAGTTCCTGTATCTACATATAAAATCAAATCTATATTGGAGTAAATAAAGGGACACTCACGTTTACATACAGGTTGGACGTAGCCGAATGGACACGAGCACACGCCTGGTGAAACACAGCTTCCACCATTCCTACACTTCGGAGAACACACGGCTGGATATGACAAGAAAAGTTGTCTTAGCATATTTTAGCTCGATATTCTAGACAATCCATTAATACCACAGCCTATATGTAGTCTAACGCATGGATGAAGAGCGGGTTATGTCAAGGGGAAACGTTAGAGATGGATGAAGAATGGGTTGTGACAACGGGAACACCGGTATTGGAAGTAAAATTCCCCGCTTCTTATGTTTAACTGGTGAAACAGCCCTATTTTTTGTCTGTTAATCATTTATATCTTAAAAGCTTGCAAGCCTTATAAAATAAAACCAGGTTGCTTTGTTTTAACAGTATTCAACAAACGGTTCAGAGAATCGTAGTTCAAAAGTAAGCATGAAACACTTGGTGTAACAAACATCTATATGTAAAACTGTTTTTCAAGTTAAACTCCAACATGAAATTGTATACAAGGTTAAGTTATAGTCCCAACAATCTATCATCAATATATGTAACGAAGAATTCTAGTTCGTTTGTTATCTTTAAGGACTTGGATTCGTTTGCCCATATGATGTACGAAGGAGTTATATACGAAAGAAAAATATTTTCATAATTTCCTTTCTCCACTTTCGGGATTCGAGCACCAGACCTTTTGATAATAACAACCTATCTTTTTATACCAATAATAAAGATTTTATAATTGAAAAGTGACTGAAAAGTGACTCTCCGAGTTAATTTTACTATGGAAAAACGGTGGGGACCTCGAAGTATTTCACTTATTAAAGAGATTCTTTGCAATTATCATAACATATACACTTTGTGATATTTTCTTCTTAATACGAATGGTTTTCACAAAATCTGCCAAAAATGCTACTGAATATTTACCTTTTTCACACGTCCTACCAAAATACCCCTGTGGACATGAACACCGACCGGAAGTAGAACAGTTACCTCCATTTTGACAGGGACGTGGACACCGAGCTAGCAAAGCAAAACAAAAACAAAATATCAATACTTTTAAGCTGTCAATCAAAACCAATTTATCTTTAAGAATAGCTACTGTTTCTCTGATTATAAGTACAGAATAAGTATCTTATGCCATTAAGTTCATATATTAAATGTAATTAAATTCCGAACTTATTCGACTGACACCGAACTTATGCGGCTGACACCGAGATTGTCCGAATGACATTGAACGTACCCGATTGACACCGGTGCCCGTAGTAGCCTGATGGACAATGACATTGGCGGTCCTGACCACAGCTGCCACCATTCAGACACGACTCTTGGCAAAGTTCTGAAATAATGTTTACATGTTTGAAATTATTATTATAATGTGATATACATAAATTTGCAGCCATATGTATATATTATCATTATTGTTTTAATGGAGATGAGGAATTTTAAGTTTGATAACTTGTGTCTAATCACTTTTGTATCAATAAATTCATTAATTTGTTTTTGTAAACGTGATATAATGTGGACCTCTCTCTATACATACATGATATATTTATGGGGCAAAGAAGTAATTCCAACAGTGTGGACAAGTTTAGGTTGTCAAAAAGCCGTTGTCAGATTAATTTTGCAGATTTATACAGTATCTTAGCCATTTCATTTACTTATTCCTCCTGCACTCACTTATTTGATAATTACTTGCATAATTCCTGCAAACCAAAAGAGGCACATGCATTATTCCTGAAAACCAAAAGAGGCGACTAAGTGTGGACCCCCTGCTGTGACTGTTAGATCCATCGCAGTATTGAGAGACGACTAATGATACATTCCGTAGCATATTGGAGATTTTTCACATTTACCGGGCCAGATTTCCACATGCACATGTTCCACGTTTTTGATATCTCTCGTTGACTCACTTTATATGATAGTGCATCTTGCGCAAGAATAGGTCCTCTACATCAGCGTTCCTTGTCCGCGATGCTCTCAGCTTAATTGCTGCCTTCGGCTGTCTTTAGCCGAGGGGACTATTGGTTTTATATAATAGCTACATTTTCAATTATAGTATATCAATTCTATCTTCTTGTAATATGATGTATATGTAAATAAAAACTGTTCTGTTTCACTGTGTTTTGAAAAAGGAGCGGATCGCTCCGAAAATCTGACAACCTAAACTTTTCCACACTGTTGGAATTACTTCTTTGCCCCATATAATATTTTAAGTAATTCGTATCCTACGGACATACCTCCATTAGGATCCAGTGTTATATGGGATTTTACCGTCTATATTACTTCTTTGACCCATACATGATATATATATACATATATATACATAAAGCAGCATAATTATAGAAATATCTAGCTTTATAAATACAATTTTATAATAATATCTATTGCAATGAAAAACCTTCTGTTCATTTTTCATGTTCCATGCAGATATTTAGTTTTCTTCTTTATGGCGTAATGTTTCTGACATGCGAATGAGGAGAGTTGATGTAGAGGCTGTAGTCTACGTTTCCGTACCTTGACACTCCCTGATATAGCAGACACGTGACTGTGATGTCTCGGGCTGTCCACTCACACATTCCACCACGCTGATCTCGTTATTGAGGCAGTACAGTGACCGCGTCTGCATCCCAGAACCACATGTGGTGCTGCAAGACGACCAAGATGACCACTCCGTCGGCATGGCTGTGCAATAAAAACGAAATGAACGAACATGTTCAATGAGAACGAATATGTTCAATGTGAACGAACATGTTCAATGTGAACGAACATGTTCAATGTGAACGAATATGTTCAATGTGAACGAACATGTTCAATGTGAACGAATATGTTCAATGTGAACGAACATGTTCAATGAGAGCACACGAAATGGCTGAAATTAAATCGGTACACGATTCTGCTCATAGCATACTATATGTGTAAATTTCTTGACATTCAGTTGACGTGTTTTAAAGGAACCGAACACATTTGATAGCCTGGTGAATACAAATGTGTATTAACAGTCTATGGTAAAATAAAACAAATAAATCTCGAAGTTTGTTTGTACATTAGTAAACATAAAACTGTAGTTCAATATCCAGATTCTTCTGAGATGGTATCGCTTTAAAAATACAAGTTAAGTAGGCTTATTTGACAGACTTGCGAATTTCTATATTTTGAGCACACTTGTGGCTCCTAGTTCCAGGTAGCGATTATCTTACTCACTTTGTGCCGTGGCGAGTTCTTTAAGCTCGTCCTTGTCCGTGGTGGTAGTCTTCAGTACTGAAGGAGGTGTGGGTTTGGGTCTCACATCACCGTCATCTTTACTGGCCGGTTCCTGTATCTATAGAACGACAAAGTACAATTGCAGTTGACAGAACAGAACAAAAGTAATCAAATACACGATGCATTTTGTTTTATTCCGGTTCTATTTTAACACATTGAAGCGAATCTAGATATTGTTACCCAATAATCATTTGTATATTTAAGTCCCTTTGGAATCATTAGCGTAACAATTAAAGGAAAGTCAAATGAGCCATTTAAATTGATTTTAAATTATATAGTCAATTTAATTTGAATGAAGATTTCAGTTCCCCTCCTGATTGGAGTCATTGCTATATGTTCTGGAATGCTTCGTTCTGTTAACGAATGCAACGTTTACCTCCTTGCTTGCAGTAAGTTATCATCGTGGTAAATGAAGAGGTTAATAGTCTGAATAGAATTTTTGTCAAAACTATTTATTAAGTTATCTTTTTGGGTTAAAACACATACATTAACGATAGGAAGGTTTCGTAGATCTTCGATAGATAGTAAATGTTTTAGTCTAGTGTAGCTTTTACACGTCAGTAAGAAATGCCCCAGAATGATGAGAAGATTAATGATGGGATCATGGTGGCCTTGTTATTGTATACAAATATTATACTCTTTATTAATATCTAAATCATGTGTCACTTAGACTTATTTTATTTGACGGACCCTTTTTGTGTCCTGAAGTTTCATTCAAAAGTCATCATTTAAGATGTATTTTGAAAAATTTTGATAAAGAAACTACAAAAGCGATGATTTATAGAATTAATGCTTTAAGGTGCTTAAAAGTACATTAAATTCAGAATGGTTTGGACCCTATGGTGTAGGGTTAGTTAAAACTCAATTAGATCAGCTTACATTATCATACCTTTATACATCATTAAGGCCGTTGCTTGATTGATAAATGATCTAGAAATGGCCGTAAAATAATTATGCGAGGAAAGTTCAAGCTATTTATCGCCTATCTGAGTAGTTTAAGAAACCGTTTATTGAATCATAAACGACGCTAAGACATATTAAACATATGTACAGTTACTCTATTAGATCTGACCCCTTAATGTGTTTTAAATAGAAAGGCACTATTGAACTGTACTATACAAAAATACGAACTATCAGAAATAAAACGAAACGTTTCTTCCACTTGATATCCCAGCAATTTGTAAGATTGTCATTTAAATATATTAAGATGAAGCTATAAAGTACATTTTACCCCAATACAAGGGTCTGTAAGATATGCAGGAGTTCAAGGTTTCGACATGAATGACGTCAAAATTCTGTAGACTCAAATAATTCAGATCAATATCAGCATGTTATGTGACTTCTCACCATTCAATGACTAATTCTCTCAATACTGATTGTATGTTGATTTGTCACATTCCAAAAATTGACAATTAACGTTTAACTACGGCATTTATATATACTTAAACAACTAAATATGATATATTAATTCAAGTCTTGACTTACCACTTCCCCCGTTTGCAGGAAGCATTGGTGAGCGGCGGCGGTCGGGTCTGAGGATATTGTTAGCTGCTCCAGTTGACCCTGTGATCACATTACATAATTATTTTTTGCATATATGTCTAAAATAGTATCACATAATGATAATTATTTTTTTGTTTATAATCCATTTATCTTAATTTTTTGTTATTCTTTAGTAAGTATATATCTATTTTATATATGTCTTTTAATGATTAAAAATCATTGTTTTACTCACCTCAAATGGTCGTCCATATCTGGCAAAGTACGGACCTATGGAAGCCATAAGATTAACGCCAACGGAAGGGTGTTCCGAACGGCTCAAGGTTTTACTGAGGACATGGATGCAATCGATGTACATTTTGATGGAATGACCTTTGACACTAAATGCGAACTGATGCCACTCACCATTCGTTAGACTTACATCGAACGAAGGTGATTTAAATCCTGGTAAGTCATTTTGATCATAGTATTCAAGTTTCGTAACGTCTCCATATTTAATTGATAGTCTTTGTTTTCCCATTATATCACTAAGTGTGAATAAATATCCTTCACTATCTACAGGAAGTCTAGCAGTGACTATAATAGAAAAATCGATAGGAAATCCTGTTCGGAATAACGATGATAAAGGTGAGTATAAGTTGGCTCTTTGTGTGATGTTAAATGATGAAGGTCGAATGACGTCACGAGTTATGCCAACCGGAAGTGACTGAATGTTGAATATTTCCATGACGTTTCTTGTACCTGTTAACAGATAAAAAGATTACATTAAATCAAATTTTTGATTAACATATCGATTATTGAGCACAATTAAAATTGTGCACTTTTTTCATAATCCCGATGTTAAATTGTTTGATAAAGAACACAATTTTCACCTATTCCATATTCAAAAGAAATTTGCTCATATATATTTTGTTCACAAACAGAAACCAATGAGTTATTTTAATAGATTATTTTCGATAGTTGAGCAAAGTGAACATGAAATAGGAAATCAATGATTACATATATATTTTAATGCTTTCCTCCAGTGATCACACTCCTAAAATTCCTGATTTTGCAAGAACAATAGTCAATTTAAAACTTTTGTTAATATTTAATTAACCTTTTGCGATACATTTGAGCAGGAAGGGAATGTTGATATACCTTTACATGAGAATGTATTGCACTGTCGCTGATCAACCTCGTTCCCATCACACGTTCCCTCCTTTTTCTGGCACGCGCGGCGTCGCACCTGCACACCTACGTCACAGGAAGCAGTGCACGAGCTCCAGGATGACCAAAAGTCCCAACCTGCAATGCACAAACCAATTGTAGGTTTATTTTTAAAGTATCGATGAAAACTGTACGAAATAATCAGATGAATATGAAATTATGACAAGAACTGCTTTCTTTGTCAAAGGTACAAACAATCTTGTGAGAAATGCATACAAAAAATATAATTAGTAAAATAAGCTGTCTGTGATGTGTGAGTGTGCATGGTTCACAGGACCTAACAATAAACGACGGTTGCAAAATCCACCAAGTTCAATGAGTTAAAATATAGTTGAATGAGTACAGCGAAAGACTATATATTAACAACGTAGTCATACTGCTCTGTTCAGAGGTATCATTTTCACAGCCTTCACAATAGAAGCAAGATAAAATTGTGTAAAACTGAGTGGGTGAGTATGTAAGTTACCTGGATATTATATAGCTTAAGTGTTGTGTTTTTTCACCATTATCATTTTTTTCTGTTACTATTTAAGGATAAAAGTGCAATTGAAAGTTTTTAAACTCTAATACATCAGTCACAAGAACATTTACTTTCTTCAAAAATCGCCTGAGTAGCCGACATAAATACGAAACAAAAAACGAAATCGGATAAAAGTGAAACACATTAGGGCATAACAATCTACTCCAATGATAACCTTATATGGGAGAATGGTGTGCTTCTGTCTACATCAGGAGCGTTATTGAGGAAGTCAGATCTGAATCACAAAAACACTACTTCTCGATATCACAAAGGGCGTAATACTACCGAATGAAATGTGCCACCATTTACAAGTGATCTGTAAACACCCCAGTTCTAAACATCATTGTTGACGAGTGCTGTTTTGTTTCACTGCCTGTGTATCTCATTGTGCGTCAGGAGACCCTTTACATACGTTTGCAATTTAGGTTGAATGAATCGTATATGTCATGAAGTATGTAATAGAATATATCGACTATATCATCTGCCGTATCTGTAGACGGAGATATCTCAACTCCAGGGTGAGATTATGAGGTTCAGCACGACGCTTAGCTCACTGCTGAACCTACAATTAGTATACAGGGTGTTACGATTACTCTTTCTACATCACAGGGGGTGTTGATTATTTTTTCTACAGCCATTTCCAACCGTCAAAACTACATCAATTTGTACTGGTGAACCGAATGCAATACGCCATCATTAGACTGGCCACCAACCCCTAAGTTTTTATGAAGAATTTCTCGACTGCATTTTACTACTAGCTTTTCTCCCCCTAGTTGTTTAGAACTTAAGAATCAGACATCCAGGTGATCAAAATTATTAGAGTTATTTTTTTCTTAATTATTTAATATTCTAGAGACGGTGGCCAGTCTACGCCATCATCTATGTGTACCGAAATTGGTGACACGATTATATTGTACACAGAGTGATGACGTTTAATGACGCGATCCTTTTGTGATATAATTATGCTGCATAAAGTGCAAGACGTTTTAGAGTAAAAGCGAGTTTGTGAGCTGTCTTCCTCTAGGTAGATTATTACAAGCGAGTTTGTGAGCTGTCTTCCTCTAGGGAGATAATTACAAGCGAGTTTGTGAGCTGTCTTCCTCTAGGTAGATTATAACAAGCGAGTTTGTGAGCTGTCTTCCACTAGGTAGATAATTACAAGCGAGTTTGTGAGCTGTCTTCCTCTAGGTAGATAACTACAAGCGAGTTTGTGAGCTGTCTTCCTCTAGGTAGATAATTACAAACTATCTCTTCCCTAGTAAGTAGGGATTGCACGTGTAAAGTGTAGGAGATAATGTTATCGTGATCACTTATTCATCACTCTGACTTTCTGATAAATAAAGCAGTATTCCGGCGGTACATTTTGTCTACTTTACTGAACGGTTAACTTCTCCGTCTGTTTGTTCGTAAGGTATATCACTAAGACAAATTCATTTAATTTTTTTGATGTTTTTGCCAAAATTCAAAACTTCATATTTCAAAGAGCTTCATTTTAGTTTATGTGCCAAACAGCATATCACTTTTGGTTAGATAGTGGAATCAACTGATAACACCTTAAGGACGATTTATTTCTTCGGCATTAAAAAGATTTTTTTTCTGTCTGCTATCTTTATCCTTCACTTTTAGAAATGACTTTTTTATCAATTTTTCAAAACAAAAATAATCTCATACTCTCTAAGACGTATATATTTTGATATTTCTAAAATGTTGAAGATACTAAATCGCTTTACAAATACACTTAATTTATGTAATTAAGATATATACATAACTTTCCGTTCTTTTTTTCCTTCCTTAAATTAAAGAACATCTAAATTTACCTTAAATATATAACTAGTCTTGTTATCTTTGGAAATATTTTGATTTAAATGGTTTCCTAACTTGTAAAAAAGTGACATCTTCTTCATCAATTTGATATATTTTTCTAAATCATGTCATCGCCTTAATGTGTTATCTCATATCTACGATAAGGTATGTGTATCTCCCAGTAAGAAACATAGCGGTGGGTTTGATATGGATACTTCTGTCTTACTCAGCTTTACCCTAGACACATAGGAGCCAAATCCTACTACCTACCAAGATCCTTTACCCTGTCATAATTACTAAGAATGATTCACTCTGATATTAATTACAATATGTTGAGATGTTCTAAGCGGCAGTGCCTTCCGAAATTATGTTTGATATGTTGTAAGCGGTGGAACACGTGTCCGGCTCAAGACCTGTCATAGTTTTATGTGTAGTATTATGGCTATCATATGGAGTATCTACTTTATCAGATAGCAGTGTCAATGCTTATTATAGAGTATGTCATTTGTGTGTATCGTTTAAATATGAACCATGTGGCCGCTTGGTGCATACTGTGTTTGCAAACAAGACAAGTACGGAAAGAAAACAACTCAACTGAGGTCAACAACGTGTGAACTGCATGACAAACACGGATTCACACTTCTATCACGCATATATATTTATATAATGTATACATAACATTGGTATAGAGCCCTAACTAATTCTAAGGAAAATACTTTAGGCGGCGCTTAATATTCAGGGGATGACAGACATTTATTTATCAATATTTAGAGAGTCTAGGAGCAACCTTACTCAAGCAAATCATACGACGTGATACCCTGTCGTTTCGTGTCTCCATATGTGTGAGTTTGTGTGCATTTTGGAGATTGTACACGTTTCTTCTCGTTATTAGTCTTTATTTTTAACGGTTCATTTATCTAACTGTACATATTAAAACCGAAATTCCGAAACAGACTATTTCGTAATCTTTCTAAGCCGGGGGTGTTTCGCAATACGATTGAATTGTCTAGCTCATGGCCACAACCACATCCCGATGTTTGCTGGATCAGGAATTAGCATTGTGGTCAACAGATTTTCGCAAAACAAATTGTGCAATGCGACCTCCATAAAACAATGCCCTTTCATTAGATAAGATTAAAGATTTTCCGGTGAGAAATCATTTAACGTTTCCAGATATCAAAATACTGTTATCTTAAATATAAAATGTTACATTTTTGCCGCACTTCATTTGGTAAATATGTAGTTTAATAATTCCATCAGAAAACGAAATAATGCAGTTAAATAGTCATTGCCTTGACTGTATAAACATATCAATAACCAATAGCAATATGATATAAGCCTACATATTTAAGATACGTATGAAAAATATGAATATTAGAAAAGGTACAAATGTAATTTGTATATTACAAGGCCGGATACACACTGTATGATCATATCTAATATGATCAGTATGTGTGCCTGCAGAGCGATTGATTGTTACACTGACCACCATATCTGATGTGACGTACACCACAGCTATTTAAAGATTCCGACCATGTAGATAAATTAGTATGTCTATTAAATGCAACGTAATGTTATTGTAAATATAGTTTGAAAGATAAATGTTTAATTAAAGTTGAAGATCAGAAATATTAATAGTTTTGTCTCATACTGTACTATATAAATTTTGATTTATTCTCTCAATTTTTTTCTGTGAAATAGAATACTTGACAGGTGTTTGCTCGACACTATTATATCATCGATACGGTTGTTTTTTGTCTTGAACAAATCATGGCATTTTAGTGATTGGATAATGAAAATGTTGCCACTGATTTAATAAAATAAATACATAGCATGCAATCATAAACTGCAACGTTGATCGTAGCAGGTGCTGGATTGTGTAAAAAGGTATTAAAAAATGTTCTGCATATCTCGGCTATAATCGAACCTGTCCATGTCCACAATTAACATTTCGTGATGAAATCGGTCTACAGCTGGTCCACAATTGTTAAAACTGTCCGCAGATTATATAGGAAAAAAAATGCCCAAACTATAAACTGATATTTGACATGGTGCATTGTAATTGTTTTGGGGACCATTGCATTGACAGCCGACAGGAACACAATGGGATGAGCCGAAAACTAACACCGACAAAATGCATGCTAGAATTGATATTCATTATGGATTAATCTACCCAATTAATTTCCAATTCACAAGCAATGAACATCACATCGTCGGGTAAATCAGTACATAATCGCTGTGAGACTTTTAAAAGTGTGCATTTCATCACTCGGGTTAATAAGTACTACTTATGTACCGTCTGACCTCTGTTTTACGTAGATCAGACAAAGGTTAAACGAGATCAACTTTTTGCAATTTTTCGCTCTCTGGCTAAGACAAGAGAGTACCGAAATATAAATAAAGCCGTTATTTAATTTCAGGTCAGAATATGAACTAAAGAGAGACTTACAGAGTGACGCGTGAAAAAATAGGGAGATAATTAAGGGAGGAAACACAAGGAGAATATGACAAGTTATAGATGTGTCACGATGACGGCGATTATCAATACACATCTAACTGTGATAATAGGAAAAGGAGGACATGAACAATGAATATATAACAATGTTCCTTTGAAAGGAGGATACATTCAAGGGCAAAAAAACGCTGGTGACTTACTTCTATGTTCAAAAATGATTCTCTTCACTTATTTGTGAGTACACTTATTGTTGCAAACTAGTTAAAACAATATTGTGTGTGTTGGGTGCGTATCGCCATG